TCTATGAGATAGACCAGGGTTTTTGATATGCTTCACGGTAAATATCATGTGGCCATTGATTCATTGAGCAACACAGTAGACTACCACTTTTACCCTGACACCAGTAAATGTGTGACAATCAGCAGCTCTTGTTTGCAGTGTATCCATGGTAAAACAGACAGCTGCCACTGGATATTTCTGATGCTAAAAAAAGCAAAACGTACCTGCTAAGTTAAAATATAGATTTGTGCGATATTGATCATATCCTAGAGCCAATATATTTTGTTACAAAATACCTCCATATGGATATTGCAACAATATTGTAGGGTTGGTGCTTTTTGCAATGAGGTTTTCGATAAATAATCATCAGTAATGTGAATATAAGGACTTTGTGGGTAATACCAGATAAAAAAACAGAAAATTATATAATTTACTATAATGCCCTTTTTTTAAAACAAGGAAAAACAACTCTTGTGACATATTACATTATCTTAAATGTAACACACATTAAGAGTCGGACCCAAATGTCATTAATATGTTTGATTTATTGCCAGGCACTAGCGAGATATACTATAATTTTACTGTAAATGTTCAGCTCCTTTATTTGAGCATATCTTTTGGTCTGACATTATGAGATTTAAATCTGACAATCGCTCGGTTCATCCGAACAAAATATAAAGCTCTTGTTTTATTCCCGCTGTTCCCCACCCTGCCCGTAGGTTTCAGTTCTTTTTAGATAAAGTGCTGCCTCAGTACAGGGACTCTGTTATGTCCCACACGCTGATCTACGTCCCGTCTTACTTTGACTACGTCCGGTTGCGCAACCACATGAAGAAAGAGGAGATCAACTTCGCCAGCATCTGCGAGTACTCCAGCAAGTCGGAGGTGTCACGAGCCCGACACTTCTTCCAGAAAGGAGATCATCAGTTCCTGCTCTTCACTGAACGCTTCCACTTCTACAAGAGGTCAGCTCTTTTTCTAAACTGATAACCTTAACAATAAGTGTACTGATGAGCATATACAAACAGCACTTGGGACTGCCGGTGATATCTTTTGATGGATACATGATAGTTGCTAAGCAATGAAGATGCACCCTTATCTTTAGTTTTTAAGTTATTGCACAGAACACATTTGAAAACGGTCAAAGTGACTGCTCTAGTGTCAAAGACTGTTAACTTTATTACTGTTGATAAGAGTAAACCTCACTTGTTGCCCTAACAAATGAATAACAGATGTCGTTCCTTTTAAAGAGTTCAGGGACCTCTTACTTTATGTGTGGAGTTCAATCCAATCATATCTGGTTTACTCATGGAAATGACTGTCACTGTCTTTTGTTTCTTTATTGTAGTCAATTGTTATTAAAAACACTAATACGTTTTTTTAATGACACAAATTAACATTGTAATTCTGTTGTTCTTCATATGTTTTTGAAGGTATTCTGATAGAATCATGATTTGACTAGGTGTTGTAACACTCCTGGTGATTTCCTGTGTATCTGAAGGCCTTATTATAGATATCCTTTTCTTTCTTAAAGAGGCCCTCTTATGCTCATTTTTGTAGGAGAGAAACTGTATACACTAAACACTGTTTACCGTATTTATATCAGTGGGAAGCAATAATCAGAAATGATTGCTTCCTACAGTTGGAAAGTACTTGTTGAAAAGTGTTGTAAAAATATCTTTGAAGAACTGTAATTGAATACCTGTCATAACAGACAGTCTGTGATATGAAAAATGTTTTAAATGTAACGTTTAAACTCTGCTTTCTCCATTTTTTTTAAATTTAGGTATACCATCAAAGGGATCCAGAACCTGATATTTTATGGCTTGCCCTCCTACCCGCACTTCTACAGCGAGGTGTGTAACATGCTGGCAGCGGGGGGTCGGGGGGAGGAGGCCAGCTGGACTTGCACCGCCCTCTACTCCCGCTACGATGCCCACAAGTTAGCTGCCATCTCTGGAGTGCAGCGAGCCGGACAGATGCTGCACTCCAACAAGACTGTTCACCTCTTTGTTACAGGAGGGGAGGATAAAGCCTCCTGATGGAGAGGGACACATTAAAGAGAGACACTTCATAAAACCAAGGGAGATATCTACTGTCCACCGTTACAGCAGGAGGATCTGTTGTTGAATGAAAGTCGCCTTGTGACACATCAGTCTTGAAAATGTGGATAAACACCAGATTAAAACATAACTATGGGTTTGGTTAATGTGCCATCCAGAGATATTGGTCACAAAATGAAGAGATCATAAAAAATAGTCAAACTGTGTTCTAAAGCTTCTAGGTGATCAGGCTGTTGAAATGTTGAATGAATGTGTATTTCCAGTTTATATACATACATTTTTCTTCCCTTTTTAATTGTTAAAAGTTCATATTTGTAGCAATACCTGTCCTGATTCACTATGGTTGTAACAATGATGGCAAACCCAATATAAAAGCCTTTCAAATTAAAGCTGGGGTACGCAGATTATTTTTGGCATCATTGTACATTAAATATCTAGGAGAAAGCTATACTTAAACACCTGTGGTAACGTTTTTATATAAGCTTCAAAGAAGTCTTTACTATGGCATTTTTACAAAAGCAAACGCTGTTTTAAGATGGTGAAAACAATAAACGGCATAATATCCTGAACGAGTATTTGTTAACACTTCAAAGGAACCCCCCCAAAATAAGACATTATCGTTATAGTTGGACATTATCAGGAAAGTGGTGGAGAATAGTTGAGCTTTAAGGTTCTTTATTTTGTCATTCGAACATAGCTACAGTGTAGTTATGCCGATGAAATTCTTAGGTCACAGGCTTCTCCAACAGTGCAACACAATAACACAGATAAACAGAAAGATATAGTGCAAGTAAATAGTAATATAGTAAATACAAAAGAAAAATAGTTTGAAATAGTGCAATAAGAGTCTATATACAAGTTATTGGAATGATATATTAGATAAATAATTACTAAGTAGCAGATGAATGTTATGGATGTTGTTTCAGCAGTTCAGGTGTTTAATAGTCTTATGGCCTGTGGGATGAAACTGTCTCTGAGTCTGGTGGTCTTAGTCCGGATGCTTCGTTAACGCCTGCCAGAAGGCAGCAGACTGAACAATTTGTGGCTGGGGTGATGGGGGTCTTTTGGAATCCGGAGGGCTTTCTTCCTGAGCCGCTGGGAGTTAAGGTCCTCCATGGATGGCAGCTCTGTGCAGTTTTCACCACCCTCTGTAAAGCCTTACGATTGAGGGCGGTGCAGCTGCCGTACCAGGCCGTGATGCAGCCAGTCAGGATCCTCTCTATGGTGCACCTGTAGAAGGTCAGGGTCCCCTCTATGGTGCACCTGTAGAAGGTCAGGATCCTCTCTATGGTGCAACTGTAGAAGTTGCAGAGTATCCTGGAGTCCATGCTGAACCTCCTCAGCCTGCGGAGGAAGAAGCCTGGGGTCTGCCCGTCAGGAAGTTCAGGATCCAATCACAGAGGGCGCTGTTGAGCCTGAGGTTTCTGAGCTTGATGACCAGCTTGGAGGACACAATGGTATTGAAGGCTGAACTGTAGTCAATAAACAGCATTCTTACATATGTGTTCCTCTGGTCCAGGTGTGAGAAGGCAGTGTGGATGGTGAGGGCTATGGCGTCGTCTGTGGACCTGTTTGCTCTGTAGGCAAACTGCAGGGGGTCCAGAGAGTCAAGGAGGGAGGAGGTGATGAATGTTTTGACTAACCGCTCAAAGGACTTCATTATGATGGAAGTGAGTGCTACTGGGCGTTAGTCGTTGAGGCTGGTGATTGTTGTCTTTTTGGGGACAGGAACGATGGTGGAGTGTTTTAAATGGTTAAAAATTGTTTAAAATGGTTATTTAAAAAAAAAAAAATCATAATAAAAAAATGATGGATTCGAAAATAATATGATACAGTACAGTACTATTACGTCTGGTCTCTGTGTTTCATTAAAGCTTCCGGTGCTAGCGAGCTACGCTAACGGATATAAGGAGTTTTTTCAACAACAAAGTGGAGGAGAGTCCTCTCCTGTCAGACTGAGAGACTCAGTGAGCTAAAGGACTCTCTCAGTGTTTAGATAGTTAACTTTAGTCTAAGTTATCTCAGTGGGTCTCAAACGTTTTGGTCACCATTAATGTAAACAATTATTTCCGAGGCACACGTTTATATAATCATTATAGTTATAAAAAAATAAGAGAATAAATAAAAAAACAGGTATGAAATACTATATGACAGTAAAACAAGAATAAAGTTTAAAAGGGTGATTTGTAAAATATCCATAAAGAAAAAGTAAATCTGTTTACAGTTCTGTTTCATATGGGTGTTGAGAGAGGTATCCATAGATCTCTTCATTTTGCTCTCAACGTGCAACAGATTGATGCTTTTAACTTCAATATTGAAAAATAAATCTTCCCGGGGGAGCTTGCTTTTGGGAGGTGAGGTGCTTTTGAGCGGTTAGTCAGCTTTAAGATAAGACGAGTTACAAAATACAATAAAAAACATAGCAGCATAATAGTAAAGCTGTACACTAAAAGTCCTGTAAAAAGAGCAATTAAATATATACAGCAAAAATTAAACATAGACGGTAAACTATCAGCAACAGCCGATATTGTATCTAGCTAGAGCCTTGTAACACAGTATTCTTAAAGGGCTTTACAAAACATGTTGGCAAAAAACAGGGCGGAATTTAATATTGGATCACAGTGGCAGATGTGTACCAAAAGGAAAGTAACAAAGGAAGCGGGGGCAAATGTCTGGGAAGGGTTTAAGACAGAGGAGAGAACTGTAGGATAAGGGCTGTATTCTCAATTTTTGGCTTTTTTAAATTTGTATTATGGATCTCTTTGCCAGATGAAGCCCAAAATAAACTGCCTATTTGCAGCTTTAAATACGAGAGTGTTGCCGTTATTATCCGGTTAAGAATTTTAGAAGTTTTAAGCCAGAAGAATTTAAAGTAGTACTACTTATGCTAATGCAACACTATTTTGTAAAAACGTTTTTTCAAATGTTTTCATTAAACTGTGAGCAGGTCAGTGAAGTATGTTATGTCTTCGGGAGTGATTTTTGTGGATGTTAAACACAAGCTTAAAGGATAAGCAATGCCAGCCGGTAGACCAAGGGAACGAGTGTGAGAATCTGGTAAATAACTGATCGGTTTTATAGACTTTATGAGCCCAGCTTACTCAGTTGTTCTGTTTATCTGACCTCCTGAAAAAAGGAATACTATCAACAAATAAATCGGACGAACTCAGGGCCATTACAGTGCGTTTCTACCCTTTAAAAAAAAAAGATAAGAGACAAAGAAACGGACAACTTACATAGCCAACCACGTAATTATTAACAGCCTGAGTTGCTGCAATAGTGACTTTGGCCACATAATTATAGTCGTTCCTCCATTGGTGGTGATCCCGGACAATAGGTCACATCTGGAATTATGGACGACAAGACAGAGAAGCTCAACCTGAAGCGGGAAGTTGGGCTGGTGGGAGCCGTGTCCCTCATCGGTGGGACGATGATTGGATCTGGGATCTTCATGTCCCCACAGACGGTGCTCTCCACCATAGGCAGCCCTGGAGCCAGTTTGGTTGTGTGGGCATGCTGTGGCTTACTGGTTATAATGGCGTCTTTCTGCTACGCTGAGCTGGGCACTGTTATCAGAGAATCCGGGGGGGAGTACATCTACATCCTGAAAACCTCAGGCCCGGTCATCGCCTTCATGCTAATCTTCAGCTCTGTGTTGTTTGTGAGACCTGCTGGTGTCGCCGGCATCTCACTGAGTTTTGCTCAATACGTCGTGGCTCCTTTCTACACAGACTGCCCCCCTCCGTTGCTGCTGGTGAAGGGCATGGCTGCAGTTTCAATATTAGTGCTTGCCACCGTGAACTGCCTTAATGTTCGCTTTGCAATGAAAATCCAAGTTTTTTTTATGGTGGCCAAGCTTCTGGCGCTGGTGGTCATCATAATAGGAGGGTTGGTGATGCTCATAAGAGGGCACACTGAAAACTTTGAAAACTCCTTCGAGAACACAAATGTGGGCCTCAATCCAATTGGGATTGCTTTCTACCAAGGACTGTGGTCCTATGATGGCTGGAACAACCTGAATTATGTAACTGAAGAGTTAAAACGTCCAGAGGTAAGTAAGTTAAAGGTTATATGGGGTTTTTGTGGAAGCGGTTAAACATTTAAAGATTAGAAGAAGATAAGGAACAATGTGCAATTTATTTAATTCATACACTGGCCGTCTCCCCAAACATCACCTTAAAACAATAAAGTAATAAATGTTTTCTCAAGTGGTGAAATCAAGTGAAAGGATGTGTTGTAAAGTATATTTATTACGCTTTTTTATTAAAGCCATGACAACACCCATTGTAGAATATACAGCCCTGGAAAAAGTGGCTGTCAAATGTTGAGGTCACAAGTTTTACTTTTTTAGGGTTTGGTTTTGACATGAACACTGCTGTTTAAAATAATAATAGAATACTGATATTTCGCCAAATTCCAAATAAAACATGTTTCATTTTAGAGCATTTATAGGCAGAAACTCCAAACTTTTCAATATAGAAAAAATATGCAATTGTTTCAGACTTTGAAAATGAAAAGCAAACAAAGTTTATGTATGGATTTGTATATAACACATTAGAACAGTCACAGTGGTTCTCAAACTTTTTCTGTCAGGCCCCCCCTTTGGAGAAAAAAATAAGTCGGGCCCCCCCCAACACAAATAGTCACGTAATGGGCCAAGTTAACATTTATTAAAATACATCAATATGAACGTGTGCATTCCTTTGCTAGAACAGTGGTAATAAAACAATGCTCCATAAGTCTGTGTGGTCAAAAAATAAATACATAATACAATTGTGCAATCCCTTTGCTAGAACAATAACTTATAATACTTTGACACTTTGCAATCTGTGCCAAAAAATGAAAAGAACGAAAATGCTGATATTTGGCAAGAAAGTGTGTCTTATCATAGTGGCTGCAATGAGCCTGTTTTGCACTGCACATTTCTTCAAAACGGGGTTACAGGCTCAGTGGCGGCGCCAGAGATTTATTTTGGGGTAGCTTGACGTTTCATAGAGGGTGCTCAAACATTTAGGGTTTCCAGTTAATGTACCGGTCGGTCGCTACAGTTGAATGTTCTACTGCAACAATCCCCACGCAAATACACAGTGTGACAGTTACAATGAAGGCTCGATAATCAGCTCACGGAATATAGGTGTAAGCAGGGGTAAAGTGCTATTTTTATAAGTGGGGGGTGGACCTAACCTACTCTAGATTTATTTTTAAATATTGAAGTTAAAAGCATCAATCTGGTGCACTTTGAAAGCAACATTAAGAGATCTATGGATACATCTCTCAACACCCATTTGAAACAGAACTGTAAACAGATTTACTTTTTCTTTATGGATATTTTACAAATCACTCCCCTTTTAAATACAAGGGACACGAGACCCAGACGTACTTGTACTGCACTGTATCATATTATTTTCGAATCAATAATTATTTTTTTTCAAAACTATTTTTCCTCCTGGTCTCTCGCCTGTCATGCCTCTGCGCATACAATAATATTTGGTGGAATTTCATGAATCTTGGCAATCTTGGAGCCTTTGTTCGTCCCACAGTGGGGAAATTCACGGCGTTTTCAGATTGCTGTTGGGTGACTGTATCGCGCTCATGGCCAGGGTGGACTGGTGTTCTGGGAATTTTTCTGCTGGTCTGTTTGTCTGACCGGCCTTCACTACACCGGGCTGGCCCAATCTCATATTTATTCCCCCTCAGGCATTAAGGTCTTGGCAAATGTAGGTGCTGTAAATTCACTGGCAGAAGTGAGTTACTATGGCCAGGTAACGTTTGGTAATGTCAGCCGATGTGAATTTCGACAAAAAGGCCTAATATGGTATTTTTGAATATAACAGCCTATCAAAGAAAATAAAGTAAATGTTTGTGTGTTAAAGCAGCTGCCTTTGGTTTGATGGCATATGACCATCTATCTTTCCATTGATCCCAATCCAGATGCTCTCAAGTTTAGCAAAGAAAACGCAGTCAGCAGAGCTCAAAGTGATTAAGAAGCTGCCACATTGGAACTCATATGAAATAAACAGCTGATTATAGGGTGTGTGCTTCTAACACAGACACAAAACAACTGGTGATTTCTATGCATGAAATAATGAGAAAATATGCCTCTGGTTAATCATTATTTAACTTATTTTCTCCATAAAAGCTGTTGGGTTGAAAGCAAAACAGGTGAAAAGTGAATTCACTGTAGAATACAGAAGTTACTGTTGATGCCGTGGCTTTATCTGAAAACGTAATTAGATTTATGGACCGGGACACGTATTTATTTAGATATTTTTTAAACAAGATTTAATAATTAGCTGTAATGTTTCTTTCTCTGCTTAGGTAAATCAAGGGGGATTTATCTCTGGAGCCTTGTCATCTCACCACGGGCAAACAAGAATATTTATAGTGCTAATTGTTCATTTCACTGTATTATTGTTTAACTATTACTGTTTAATATTACTGCTAAAACAATCACAAATTGCGTTTATTCACAAATGTTGTGCAAGGATCAAATCAATCAGTAGTCTGGCTTTAATGCAAATGAACAGGCTCGGCAGTTAATTGAAGCTGATCAGCAGGGGTGTGACTCTCTTGGTTTCACACCTGATGGCCCATCGGAAAGTGCCACAGGTCTCCCACCTATGGAGAACATAGTGTATTTGAGTTTGCTTGACAGGTGTTTTTTTCAGCATCATTGTTATTCTCTTTATGTTAAAATTATTGCAAAAAGGTTTGCCCTCTCTAATTTCTGTCCCATTCCCGGAGTGGGCTTCTCTTCTCATGGCCCAAGCAGTTCATTAGCATTACAATGTGTCCTTGATCATACTTAAGCAATATATTGTAAAGGTAAAAGTATGAGCATCAAACATTAGGTAGTGTAAACATTTTAATTATGGAGACAGTCCATTTTCAAAATAATGAAAGACTACATATTATTCAATTACAATTCAGATTATAAAATAAAATATACATTATTTGCTCCAATTTTTTTGTTGCACTTTATTAGAAATTAAAAAGCGTAGAAAATAAACAATTATATAGCTGGCATGTGTGCAATATTATAAATAAATACAATTGTAAAAGTAATGTGTCACATTTCCCTGTGAAAATAATGGATAAAGAATATGTGATTATTTATGTGTATCTGTGAATGAAGGGCAATCTTATCGTAAAACCCTGCAATCGAACAAATGGGCATGTCTACACTGGAATCAACGCCTTCTCAGGAAACAGGGCAAGGGTTAGGGAATGCCTTTGAGGAGACAGTAGCAGTCCAACAATGGAGAGTGACACAAAGAGGATCAATCTGAAGAGGGAAGTGGGCCTTATAGGATGTATATCATTCATTGCTGGCACCGTTATAGGATCTGGGATTTTCATCTCCCCCCAGTTTGTGCTGGCTGCCAGCGGCAGCCCCGGGGCAAGTTTTATCATATGGACCCTCTGTGGTTTCATATCCATGCTAGCAGGACTTTGCTACGCTGAACTGGGAACAGTCATACCAGAGTCTGGAGGAGAGTTTATCTACATCCTGCGGACAGCCGGAAAAGTGGTGGCCTTTATGTTTTCCTTCAGCTTCATCGTGGTCATGAGGCCTGCCAGTGCCACAGGAGTTGCTCTGAGCTTTGCTGAATATGTTGTTGCCCCCTTCTACAGCAGCTGCACCCCTCCAATATTGGCAGTAAAGTGCATAGCTGCAGCAGCTATCATGGGTCTGACTGCCGTTAATTGTCTGAGCGTACGCTTGGCTGTCCGCATCCAGGTGGTTTCCATGGTATTCAAACTGGTTGCACTGGCCGTGATCATATTGGGAGGTGCTGTGATGCTTTTCCAGGGACACACTGAGAACTTTGAAGAGCCCTTTGAGAACACAAATGCTGATATCAGCTCCATTGGCATTGCTTTCTATCAGGGCTTGTGGTCCTTTGGCGGGTGGAACACTTTGAATTACCTAACTGAGGAACTGAAGAATCCAGAAGTAAGAGTTTTACTGTTTGCACAATTAACTTTCATTTTCAATATTTTCTTAATTTACCATACAGTTTACTTATAATGTATAAAGATCTTGTTGTTATCATGTGTGACAAATCAAAAGTCCAGAGATGGTATACTTGCATTTAGCAATACGTGCAATTAGCAATCTATTCTGAGAGATCTTCACTAACAGTGCAGTAAAGTACCGCAATAATTTCATTGTGAGGTCATAAAAAGGGAAGACTAACTTCATATAGTCATTTACAAGCTTGATTAAAGAATAAAAGCAGTTAGGCCCTAACATTGTCTCTGAGGGCAAAGCATTTCTAGGGGAGGGGCTAGATTAAAAGCAATTCTAGCTCTCTACACATTAGCATCCTGGGCTAGTTCTGTCTGGGTCACCAGGGGACCAGCCCTTTGTTATACCGTGGCACATCAGTGGGGGGGGGAGCTGAAACAAAGCTAAGAAAGGCTCTGCACCCATCCCTGTGGTGAACACAAATCAAAACTCTTATCATGCAATGGCAGCTTAAAGGCATCCGGGGTAGTGGACAATAGAAAATGTGGTTGGAGCACAGTAAACTCTCTATTGACATGTCCTGGAATTTCATTAGTAATGCTTTGAAAACTCAATTCCTGGTATCATGACATTCTCAGAATTCCATGTGGATGCCAAACTATCAAATGCTGGATCACTCTTACTGGTTCTGACAGTTTTTTACATGGAAATAATCTTTTAGTACATACGAGGGGCTGATAGTGCCTGAACTCAGGTGTCTCTTTGTATTGCACATTATGTGGTTTTCATGGCTTTATCAAGTAATGTATTTAAGTGTATAAATTAGCACCCCCAATTGGCAGGGCACGATACTTGAAGAAGGCAGGTTGGGAGTTAGTTTGCTTCGAACAAATACATTCAATATTTTAGGGTTGTCTTGCTCACAAGTGTGGCTAAAGCTCCTTACACACCAAGCCGATTTTCGGCGTCGATAGATGTAGATCAGGGGTCGGCAACAGGCGGACCGCGGTCCGGATCCGGACCCAGACGCCGACCTATACGGACCCGGAGCTATAATCAATACATTAATGCAGGCTATT